CTTCGACAGCTCTTGACCAGCTTTTCACCTACCAGCATCCCCAAGTCTTTCTTGGCAGGGCAGTTCTCAATCCCTTAGCCGGTGCTGATACTGGGGTTGCCCTTCTCACCCTGACCCAGGTGCAGGTCACTCTACTTGGCCTTGTCAAACCCCATGAGGTTCATATGGGCCCACTTCTCTTGTCCTGGATGGGGTCAAACTGGGAGATACAAGTCTGTGAAAAAGAAGCTCTAGTCTAAAGATACATAGAAGAAATTCTAAGTTCAGTCAAGGAGAGAAATGTTTTTCTGCATTTCCTCCCTATGTGACAAGAACATCAAAATATCAGCACAACAGATACGTCCCAGCTGTAGAGATTCAAAGCATCATAAAGAAGGCACTGAGATAAGGCTGTAAGAAGTGTCCTCTATGCACACACTATGTACACTCCACATCTTCACCACCAGGAGCTTTTCCTAGCTGCTGTTCATCATCACTGGAGGCTAATTAGCTTAAGGCCAAAGAAAACACCTGTTATAAGCTAATTGGCAAAGAGAAGGCATCCCATCCTATCAAGTCAATACAAGGGAATGTAAGTTGGGAAGGAAACAGAGGAAGGGATGAAATTAAGGGTTTCTAAAGTTAATCCTTCCTCAAAGTGACACTGCTCATTTCTCTTGCAGTTCCTGTACTTCCTTTTTGGAGGACAAGCAGGAAGGGCAGGCATGGGAAGGTAGCCATGGTGTGGAGTCCCACCTAGCGTGGGTCCGTGGCCAATTTGACACTCAAATTGGCCAGAGAACTGGAAATGAGGCAGGGATCTTGACATGAAAAAGGAAAGTCAGAGGAAAGGCAAGGAACTGTCATAGTGATTTTCATCCATAGGCCTGTTTTTTTTTTTACTACAAGGGCCTCAACTGAAAGGCTTTTCTGCCCCCAAACTCAAACCCTCATCAAGTTTATTGTTTGTTTGCTTACTTTTCAACAGGGTAAAAATACAATACAGAAACTGATCCTTAACATTTTTTTTCAAATGCTGCTCCTAGGGGTCTCTCTTGCTTTACTGTGGTGCAACTGGAATAAACTCCAGTCTCTCGAAAAGAATATCAGTTTCAAGGCTATACTTTTTGTTTTCACTTGACTGGTGAAGGTTCCATTTGCCTTTCCCAGGGCTGATCCCCAGCAACATGCTTCCCCATGCCACCCCAGGATGATTAAGAGTCTCTTGTCCTGGTAGAGCCGTGGGAAGTTTGATCTCCATGTTCATACAAACTCTGCCCTCCCTCAGAATGTCAACAACGGCTCCGGCCAGCAGTGCCCACTATTCATTTTGATAGTCATTGTTTACTACAAACAGAACTACATTCCTAAACCCATTTTACAAAGACTAAGAAAAAATATATCTGCTGAGCACAGCACAGCCTCTGACAGGACTCTCACTAGCAGAGGTCAAAGGGCTGATGCTGCTGCACAGCATTAGAGTCACACAGTCATGGGGAAATGGTTTTCCTGAAGTTGCACTGTAGAGCAGTTGCGGAATTGAATGTAGAAGCCAGTTGTAAAACCAACAATCCAAACACAATCCGAAGTCTCTGCCTGTCCCACTGCCCAGCTCTGCATACACACAGGCCACCCAAACCTCTCTGAAAGAGCACGCCAGAAACCTTCTTGTCTTCTTGTGAATTAAATACAACCAGGGGAGCCTGAAGTGTAGACCAGAAACCAAACCCTGTTGTTTCAGCCACACTCAGAAACATTCCCAATATGCTAATACAGGTCCCAGGTTTAGCCACTAAAAGGGCACTAGCAGGCAGTATCCCCAGACAATCCTGCTGTGTCCATTGGGTACATCCCTAACAGCTGACAACTGAAACAGGAGAGCAGCTTTGGAGGCTGTGTTGTCAGGGCACTGAGCTCTCAGCTCCTGCTGGCTTAAAAAATACAAAGGAAAGCACAGCACTTCACAAAGGCTAAAAGGATCTAAATGTAAGTTGCAAGGAATAAAATGCATATTGAGGTGAATAAGCGACGAAAAAGTCAATGTCTAAAATGAATGGCTTGAAATCTTTATGAAGGTGGATGTCCTTAAAGAATTCTCACCATACTACCTTGGTACTTCCATAAGGCCCTGAAACTTGCATTTATGTTGACTTGTGAGCTCTGTCATTTGCAACCTCTGTTTCTAGAAACTGCCCTTCTCTTCACTTGCTGAGACACTGCCATGACTTAAGAATGAGGATGGTTACTTGTTAAATTAGAGGTCAATTATCTCCACCAGTAGATGATGCCACTTGCAATAACTGTTCTCAGTGGGTACCACTCTTCCTGTTCAGAGACAGAAGAGGAAACGAGGTCTCCGTTGCCTCTGGATGTTCTCTCGGGTACATGACACACAGCCCTGTGTATAAAATGTCAAAACATCCCTGTCGGAGATTCACTGCCTGCTAAAACTGTGAAGATCTCACAGCACCGTGGATTGCTGTTGACAGAACAGCAGCGCCCAACATAACACATGCCTTGTTAGCAAACTGGAAGCCTCTCAGTAGTCTGGGGTGAGGGAATAATAGAGGAAGCCAACACAACACAAGCCAGGCCTGCGGAGAATAGCAAGTGAACGAACCTTGGCGGAGAGTCCAAGCACAGCTTCAGACTAGCTCTTTTTCCCCCGCTTTCAAACTCTCTCTTCTGCAAACATGGGCAGTTTTCAATGAGCGCTTCCCACCATGTAACTCAGCTGCTGAAATAAGCAGCATTTTCACCAGAAATTCCCACAACTGGCACAGCTGGACTGTGCAAAGCACTGAACACCCAACTGCTAGTTTTCAGACAAGCTAGACCTAAGGCTGACCATGCCACCATGGCTCTCCCCCCTGCAGGCAGCTGTGTCCTTGCTTTTGTCACTCCTCCAGGCTACAGTGCTCCCCAGCCAGTGGCAGGACACCACAGGCACACCAAGCCAGGCCAGGGGCAGGCACACAGGTGGGCTCTGAGGCGGGGGGGGGCCCTGTACCACTGTGGTTCTTGGCTGTGGCTTCCTCTGTCCCTGCCTTCCAGTGCCCCCATAAAGCACTTTCATGCTCCAGCAGAGCGCTATGACATCTCAGCATGGTGAATGCTGGGCCATCCCAGGGAGCCAGAACTGCTTTGGCAAGGCTGCGAAACAAAAGAAACATCAGCCTCAGAAACACTTCTTTATTCGCTGCTGCTGAAGAAACAAAACCTTTATGTGCAGTAACTCTGCTTTAAACAATAACATTTGTGGATCCTGTTCTTAACCTTTTGCATCTGGTGTTCAAAATCTGCCCTGCTTTTTTTCCACGTGAAAGACTACAGATCTTATTTTTGTTTTGGCGCTGGTGTGCAATGTTGCTAGAGAAGTGCACTCAAGCTGGCACAGACCAAAGCTGGTGAGCCACCCAAATTATTGTTGGGTGGTTCAGTCCCTCTCTATTTCAAGAAGCCTCTGGGTATAATGACAGGAAGCTTGCAGGCAATTTTAAGCCAAACCTCAGAGAGGCTGGCATTCGGTCTGTGTTAAAACACTCCTTATTAAAAGCTGTCCAGTCCGGATTCTGGGTGGAACTTTGATATCTGCATGGAGCAAAGAATAAGGGGCACGTTTGCAAAATCAATTGTGCAGTTTTTATATTTACTGCACGTTTACCACATATGTCATTTATTACACAGTGGAAAACCGTTAAATGCACAGTAGTTGTGCCAAGTGGCATTATGCTTTTAACAGCTTTATTCGTTTAACAGCTCCAGTTCTCATTATATTTTGCCATGTGGTACATGAGATTTTTATGCATTTAACAGTTTAAGAGGGTTCCATGGTATTTTCCTTTTATGTATTTCATACTGAGCCTGGGATTTGGTTTGGGGGGTAGAGGGACTGTAACCCCTCTACCCTGACAAGAGAAAGCAAAACACAAAAAAAATAAGTGATTACATTAAGAAGGAAAAATTAATCAGATCCCCATGTATCAGGACACAAATACCTGTAAGAAGGACAAGGCTTTCCCATGTGCTTTGATAGCCTTTGATGCTTTCTTTATATGCTTTTCAACTGCTTATTTTACATCTGCTTTAATGACTATAATGTTGTTGCCCTGCACAGAGGGAAGTGTGCATTTTTCAGAGTGCATGCACCTAGATACGTCTATCCCACTCTCTCACTGTCACGTGCACATTTGTGCATTTTTTTGTGCATATTGATGCAGCCCTCTCCTTACTGAACTGAATAATTTCATCCCGGATCAGAAGCAGCTCTTTTAACTGAGTAAACAATTCCTTCCAACAATCTCCAATCCACTTGCTGCCCTTCAAAAAAATCTGTCTGTCCTCCTTTCCACAAAATCCCTTCTGGTGCATTATATTTTTTTAACGAGCTGGATGAAATTTTTAAATTAATGGATTCTCTTCAAGAATTTCACCCCGACCTAGGTTTGCTCACATGTATTTTTTACACCCAAGGTAGAAACTAATCCGTCAGAACTCACTGCAGTGCCTTCTCATGCCTTTTTGTAAAAATGATTGGATCCAATGTGAATTATTCACATGGCAATACCGTATGCGGCACATACAACGTGCTAAAAAGGAAACACCTGCCTAATATGCTGTTTCCCATTGCCTTCCCTCAGTTAACCACTTGAGAAAGAAATTTCATTACCTGCTGAATGAGTAGGATACCACCATTTTCAAAGTTCCTTGTCCTCCTAGCAGAGGTGTAAGTTATATACCACACGTGGGAAAAGACAGACATGTTTGTACAAAAGGGGAGAAAAGGCTTGGTTGTGAACTGACCCTTTCCTCAGCCTCTTTTAAAAGGGAAAAGGAAACCACTTAAGCAGGCAAAAGCCAAACATGACAGGTTCCCCAGAGATGAAAATTATTATTATTGTAAGAACAGATGTAATTTTATTGGTGGGAGAAAGAGATGGATCTAGTCCCAAACCCAGAGACTGCTTTAAAAACAAAACCCCAGAAAGCCCCACAACAATGAAATCCCCTATACCACTCACCTGACTTTTATTGGCAGCCACTTTGGCAAACAGAGCTTGAGATACCTTGGCCCTTTTCATCTCCTGTTGGATCTCATCATAAATGGCAGCTGTGATGTTGACGTTGGCGCTGTCCGCCTTAATGGGGAGGTCTGTTGTTGGTGTCGAGGTTTTGGCCTACCAAGAGACCATGAAAATAATAATTAAAAAAGTGCTGCTTTCAGCCCAGCCATCTGTGCAGAAATTATCAAAGGATTTCAGTCAGCTGATGCCAAACTGCATTAGCTACAGAGGGACACTTCCTGTCCATTATTCTAATCAGGTTAATTGTGATTGGAAATAATTGCAGTGCATTCCTATAGGACATGCAAGGCCCTGTCAAGTCTCCCCCTCTCCCTCTCCCAGCATGTTTATTGAGCAGCTCAACAACAGGATAGGTAGCTGGGGCACCGGGCTGCAGATACACGCTGACATTGGCTTTGCCAGCCAGCCACTGCAGCACAGCCACCAGGCTCTACCTTCTCCCCCGCTCTCTAAAAGTGGCCTACACCTTGGAGGAAGAGCCAATTCTCCCAGAAAAAATGAGTAAATGGGTAGAGGTCTCTAAATAATAAATTATTACTCAATTTAATGCACTCCCTCAAGTCTCCCTCATCCTTTATTAAAACTATACGTATGTCACTTGAGTATGTATGGTTTCCCAGCCTTATCATCATTATGCTAGCCAGACAGTCACCTAATTTCACCTAGGAAATCAGTGGAAATGAAAAAAAAAATCATTTCATAAAGCTGGGCTTTGGCATGCCTTTGATGTGCTGCCCTCATTCTCCTAAACTCATATTGAGATTTTGTGTATTCCACTGCACTCCTTTTAATTGAATGATTTCCCATCAGCTTCTGTGACAAATGAAGGACAATAACGGACGCTGCCAGTGCTTTCCCTGGGCTGGACTACCCCTGCAAGGCTTCTACCAATACAGCTCAGAAGACTGCTACAGGATGCCAGTTGTAAAGCCCCTTGGACTGGTGGTCCCCAGAATGCACTGGCAGGAGAGGGAGTGAGGGCGGTGTGATGCTCACTGAGTGCTCCCAGCACCAGCTGCCCCTTGGAGACAGATCTCATTTACTTTTAAGGGACCTTTTAAGGGAAATGTGAGTTACTGATATAAAACCTGTTTTGAGACGTAAAGGTCTTAGGAAAGAACACAACCTAAATGGCAAAGCTCACAGTTCCCAATAGAACCAAACCACCCATACACCCCAGTGACCCTCATATTTGGCCCAATTGTGAACCTTTTCAGATGTATCCCGTTTTTCTGTCAGAGTTGAAGTCTGCTAGAGTACATCTAATGTTAATTTTTAACTAGGCAGATATGCTCAAATGTTTATTTGTTAATAGGAAGGTTAACTATGCAAAACCAAACCTTCTGAATTTCTGTTTTGTTGTCCTCCAAATCTTCTTCTTCCTGACATCTCTTCTGTATGGAGACCACATTAATAATGGAGCCAAAATCAGTCAAGACAACACACTAGACTGATCATTCTTCCTTACGACTTCCAGATAAAGCCTTAACCAACCTGTGTCTTCTCCCTTTCCAGGCTCAGCAGGCACTGCTCTGGGCTTGCTCCCTGCCTGTCACAGGCAGGACACGCACAGAAAGGGTGTAAGATTTCCCTGTTCCCTGGGGCCAGCCCCATGTGCAGGCAGAGGCAGCTGCACAGCAGCTGGGGCAGAGCATGGCCACCATGGCGCAGGAGGCCAGGGCTAAACCACTGCCATCCACAGGCCATGAGCTGGGTACAGTGCAGCACAGGGACCCACAGGGACACCCTGCTCTGAAATTCAATGTTTACAGATAGATGAGAGTTAGGCAATTGTGGGAAATGTAAGAAAACAACAAAGAGTTCATGGAAAGGAGAAGGACTGTGCAAGTCTGTCAGGACTGATTTAATGGAGATTTGTCAGGTATAAAACAGTCTTCCCAGGCACTCGAGCCTTTGGCTAGCACAGCAGCTGAGGTCACCATGGCCTCAAAGGCTGTTATGGATGTCTGAGATCCTGAGAACAAAAAAATTAGCATGTAAAAGAAAGATTTAAAATATAACTCCATACTGCACGGGTCTCCTACACTTCTAGGTCCACAGCCACATGTCAGGAAAAAGCCTACCCTGCACACCCTGAAAGCTGCACTACTTTTTATTTAATCACCAAAATAGGAAGGGAAAGTACCAACCAAAAGTCACTAAAATAAAGTATTTAATGTTGGAAGTCTAGATTCAAAGCTGGTCTTGATATTAAGAAGGAGCTTGACACTATTGAAACATCTTATTGCCAACAGTGGGGAAAAAAAGAAAATAGTGTTTGCAACCACAGTGCCTTACCACTGCAACCCAGCCCCTTACTGCTGGGGTTCTGTGTGCACACAACAACTCCCAACAGCTCAAAGCATCTCCACAGCAATTGCACCCCATTTTCTGGATCAATCTCTCATTCTCACCTTGAGGCAGGTCCTGAGCCAGGGATATCACAAAAGAGTGGCTTGGGGCTGGCTCAGAGGCAGGGAGAGCTGAGCTGGGTTACTCTGCATGCCCTTACACCTGCCTGCATGCCAGCCCCAGCATCAGCACTTCCACAGGTATCTGCCATTCCTCTCCCACCCAGCACACTCAATCCCAAAAGCCTTGCCGCAGGATATCGGTATCTATGGAAACCGTGTTTCCAATTGCCATTCCATCACCTTCTCTGGCACACTGACACAGTTCCTGCAAGGCTGCTACAGCTCCTACCACTGCTGCCCCAAAGCACCCTGCTCCAGGGGAGGTAAGAGAGCTGCCCGGGGAGCTGGCGCTGCCTGCGAGGCCGGCATTTGTCTCGTCAGAGCTAATAGCAGGCATATGGGGAAGCGCAGTAGCCGTGCTGCCTGCCCGGGAGCTGGGAAGAGCCTCATTTGCAGAGGTGTCCAAGTTGTCAAAACAGCACCTGTGCTGACTGGTGCTGGCCCTCTGAGGGCTGGGGAAATGTTACACAGCGGGCACAAGGCAAGCACTGGGTACACAAACCTTTGTGTGCTGCTTTTGCTGATTAAAAACCTCACAAAATTCTATCGGATTCTTCAAGCTGAAATAAGGCAAATGTGTGCTGGTTCATACTGCTAGACTACGGTTTTCTAGCAACATCTAGCTCTTAAAAAGGCAAGCAAAAAATGTCTTTATGTTAAATCATGCACTGGCTGTGGCTAGAGTATGGGAAAATGGCATATTTCAACACAGGAATGAAATGGGGCAAAAGATCCCATTTTTTTTCTCACCAGATTGCATCTAAATTCTCGATTTCCTTTCAGTGCTTGATTCTAGTACAAAACCTATTGCAATAAATGTAAGCAGGAGTAAGCTAATTTTTAATGAATCAATACGAATGCAGAAAGTGGCTACACTACTTAAATAGCACAATAGTGTACCCACTATTAAAATCCCTATGTATATTTATTTTCACCTAAAGGTAACTAAAAAAGATACGGAGCATACAATGAGTTTCCCATGCAATGAAAATTCAGTGTCAAATATGGGTTGACAGGATAAGCTTACTTTCAGTGAAAACAGTTCTTCACATCACGTATTCAGTGAAGTGCACCTACATGTCTGGTTAAACTGAACAACCTCAACAGTTTCTACAAAATCAACACACCTTCTCTAAGGACGGTCAGTTTGAATATTTAACTTCACTCCCCCCAACAGTGCTTGCTTACTTATTTTAACAGCTGTGACTACAGAATCCAATGAGAAGTGATCACTGATATTATTAGAAGGCTTACACAGGCCCGTTTACTAAACATCACTAAAGTGCTAGAACTGACACATCACGTCTGTACTGTTAGAAAGTTCACACTCAAGTCAGGCAAATGTCCTGACAGGAATTCATCAGCAGCCTTGTGCAAGGACCCTCACTTTGCAGAGTACAGTGTGGGACTGCATCAGCCTGGTACAAGGGGGGGATGACTATTACAGCGTAGTTTGTGGATGCTCTTTCTTAGTGCAAAGAACAACCTACCCAGGGAAGAGTGGGCGGCAACAGCACATTAATAAACACATACAGTTAAGTGAGTAAGAAAACAGCTGCTTGGGAGCTGTAAGCATCATCTTTCTTCCCAGCATGCTGTCCATCTCCACTTTGTGTACCTTAAACATTTACTTATAAAAACCTCTAACGCAGGGACTGTGATTTTCTGTGCAGAATAAGGAGCACAGTATTTTCTAACAACATCTATCTAATGCACTATCAACCTCTGTTCACTAGGCACTTGTATGGCAACATACATGAACCAGAAGTCCAGAAATTCCCTGTGCTCTGAAGAAGGTAATCAACACAGGTAAAAAGCATGCACTGTCTTTCCATAATATATTCTATAATAGCCATTTAATGGAAATATATAAACACAGCCAGTATGTATGCCCACATGCACTCTTCAGGCACTAACATTACATACTCTTTTGCCTTATGGCATTGATTAAAGACAGAATGATCATCACAGTGTCTTGCTGACATCTACTAAATGTCTCTTAACAGCCATTCCAAAACCTTACAAAAGATTTTCCACAACTCATCTGGGCAAGGGGAGCAACAGACAGGGCAAGGGTGGAAAGACATTCCTTTCCTGGAATTATCTGGACAACAAACAGGTAGCAAGGGATTGCATCTTACCTGGGGTGTTCTGGAGGAGCTTGGGCTGCTGGCAGCTGAAGACACCATGCTCACGTTTGGGTTCATACTCCTCTCTCTCTCATCCTGATAGATACGGTCCCGCTCCGCGTCAGGCAGGTTGAGGAAATTCTGCATTGCCCGTAAGTTCACCAGGAGGGACTGGGAAGCTGTCCTAGGGTCTTCTTCTTTACGCAGGATCTCTGACAACAAACCCTGGTTAAAAAAAAAAGAAAAAAAAAAGAAAAAAAAAGCCGGTCATGCGTTGATGGGTTTCTTTGGTTTTTAAAAATTTGTTTAGTGTAACCAGCTGGGTTGCAATACTGAGAATCTACATCAGAATCTCATGGGCTCTCCCTGAGGGGATATTTTGTAGGAAAGTGTTCGTCTTCTGGGGGCTGGAGTTTATTTTGGGACTGTCCTATTCTGGCACAGTAATAAGCTTCTGTGTGTGGAGATGCTGGATAGGAAGGTAGGTGCACTGGTTAGAAGAAATTGCAGTTATCACCAGGTGCTTGCTGCAAATATTTTAGGAGCTGTTAGATCTCTCTCTCTCTTTCTCTTTTTACTTGAAGCTGGGAACGCTTGGCAATCCTGTTCTTCTTTGACAAATCTGCCAAGGTTGGTAAATTTAGTTTCGACATTTAAACAGTGCAGGAGGTTTATAAAGAAAAATGTTTGGCTGGGTTTTCATGTTACAGTCCGCTCATTTCAGTTTGGACAGTCATTTCTGAAAGGAGAAAAATGAAGCAATAATAAAACCTTCGAATCTAGCTTTAGGGATTTAACCCATTCTTTCATGCTTCATTTTAAAATACCACAGGCTTCACATTGCAGCTGTGAATGAACACCATATTAATCTAGTTTTTACCAAAGTCATTACACAGCATTTCTAAAAAATAAAAGAACAGGAGAGATGAAAATGTCATTAAAAGAGGCTTAAATCTAATGATGGGATTAAATTTATGTGTAAGAGTACGCACTTGAACTCAACAGTTCCGTGGATTATCTAAAAGTTAAAGACAAGCACACAAGTCTGGATCAGGGCCAACAAAAACTACCAAGGACACAGCGTGTGCCACCAGCTTCCCCCAGGCACCCCCTCATTTCTGACACTTCACAAACTGGGACTTCATTCCAAAGAGCAGGAACAGCAAATTTCTGAACTATACCTGTTTTAATGTACTGGTGTGCAAGGAAGCAGAGAGGGACCATTTCTGCCCATCAAGGCTACTTACACCTTAACGTAACATATCAAAAAGATATCTTACTGTTAATATTCAATTCGATGTGCTCATTACTTCAAAAGGCTATTCTGCCAGTCGGATTCCCTGAGCCATCTGACACTGTTCCCGCTCCCCTCCTGTCACCTGGAGGCTGCATCGCTGCTCCCAGGAACGCTGGCCACAGAAGCCCTGTGAAATCCCAGTGGGAGCTGGAGGGCTCCCTTGGCCTGCTCTGGGAGAGGAGCGGTCACAGCACAGGGACCCTGCAGGCCCCGGCATGGCCCCGCTGTGGCTGCTGACACCAGTGCTTTGCAGTTACTTCACAGCCAGGACCCAGGCAAGGGTCCAAGGACAGGCAAGGCTTACTCCTTTCCTGTCAGAAAAATGTTACTAGAAAGCAGCCACATACCCCAAGCCCTGTAATATTTAGATTTCATTTATTTTCTTCCATATCAGAGAGCCTCCTTCAAAAAGCCTTGCTAAAAGCACTGCCACTACAGTTGGCCAATAAACCAAATGCCAACATTTTTAGTATATACTGACCTTATTTACCAGTCTTCCTGACAAAACCAACTGACCTGCATTTATCTGCTATTAAACACCTAGACTAAAACACACAGGTGAAACCTCCACTTCAGCAGAGTTTATACCACTAGTCCACACACAACATGAAGGTAGGCTCCATCTTTTCAGCTCCTCACCTACATAATCAAGCTGAGACACTCCCAATTACATTTGTCTGCGATGATCAGTGTGGGCACCAGAAGAACTGGAGCTGGGAATGGAAGCATGGTTAGCACCACTCAGAAGTTAGATGCAAGAGAGAAGCTGGCTGGTGAAAAAGGTCTGCTCTTTGGGAACGAGCAGTGCTGGGCTGTCCTCTGCTATTTTGTGCGACCTCAACACAACTGCATGCTCATACCTGGCTTCTTTTTCAGGGTTTACCACCTCTCAGAGAAGATAAGTACATTTTGAAAAGTTTTCTAAAGTTTGAAAGGCTCATAGGCTGGGGAAGGTTAACCAAAAATGTACATACAGGAGCTTAAAGCTGCAACTTGCATGATTCCAAGACCGATGCAATTCCTTATTAAAATTTCCCATAAAGTCAGTGAAAAATTCTTTAAATGCAGTAAATAAAGGAAATATTGGTTCCACCGATTCTCTAAATTTCTAATTCCCTGTGTCTTTGAAAGGATATGTATGCAAAACTTCTTTTTAAAAGAAAAACTCAACTTCAAAAATTAATGAGTTTAGTATGAAAGAAAGGGACCTGAAAGCTACTGGAGCTGATCTAAGGCAGTTTTTTTTCTCCCTCCCAGTTTTGTGAAACCTCCACATCAGCAGAGTTTATACCACAAGCGCTCTAAGCAAGCTCCACACACAACCTGAAAGCAAGCTCCATCTTTTCAGCTCCTTATCTACATAATCAAGCTGAGACACTCCCAATTACATTTGTCTGCGATGATCAGTGTGGGCACCAGAAGAACTGGAGCTGGGAATGGAAGCATGGTTAGCACCACTCAGAAGTTAGATGCAAGAGAGAAGCTGGCTGGTGAAAAAGGGCTGCTCTTTGGGAACGAGCAGTGCTGGGCTGTCCTCTGCTATTTTGTGCGACCTCAACACAACTGCATGCTCATACCTGGCTTCTTTTTCAGGGTTTACCACCTCTCAGAGAAGATAAGTACATTTTGAAAAGTTTTCTAAAGTTTGAAAGGCTCATAGGCTGGGGAAGGTTAACCAAAAATGTACATACAGGAGCTTAAAGCTGCAACTTGCATGATTCCAAGACCGATGCAATTCCTTATTAAAATTTCCCATAAAGTCAGTGAAAAATTATTTAAATGCAGTAAATAAAGGAAATATTGGTTCCACCGATTCTCTAAATTTCTAATTCCCTGTGTCTTTGAAAGGATATGTATGCAAAACTTCTTTTTAAAAGAAAAACTCAACTTCAAAAATTAATGAGTTTAGTATGAAAGAAAGGGACCTGAAAGCTACTGGAGCTGATCTAAGGCAGTTTTTTTTCTCCCTCCCAGTTTAGCCTCATAAAATTTATGGTCCAATTTCAAAAATGGAGAGCAGAAACATACGTGAAAGCATGCCAGCAATTACTTTTCCATGCAATCATTGACTTTGTATGTAAATCAGAGGCTCACAGGTACGAGTGGCTTGCTCATAGCACGAAGACGTATCTCACTGCCCGAGATACCAACCCTTGTGCTTGCAGGCTCTGATTTATCATGCTGTAGATTTGGTGCCTGCACTCCAGCTCCCGTGAGGGTCCCAGCCTGAGCTGCTCCAGGGACTCAGCGGTGTTTTGCAGCACGCCTGTTCCATCAGCAGGCTGGGAGCCTCTGCTCCAAGGCAGGCACCTGCTCCAGGGGGACTCGCTGCTTCCCCAGCACCGCAACACAGCAGCCGCTGGCAGGGGCGAGCCCTGCTCCCTGTGCCCCTCCAGGCCCACAGGTAGGAAATCTGGCTGCCAGGAGGGTTTTTCTGCAGCTCCTCTAAGTGCTTTGGCAGCTTAGGAGCCATGTAAACAGCAGGAGAGCTAATAAGAAAACTGACTCATGAGGGACAAATCTCGTGTCCTCCTGCAACTGAAGATAAACAACAACAGTGGTAAACAGCAGCAGCAGATAGCTGAGTGATAGGGGAGGATAATAAAATAAAGTGTCTTGAGAGCAATAACGTTGACAATAATATAATTCTGAGCTACTGAAGTATACGCAAACTAACCAGTGAGCAACATTATAAAAAATAAAGTGATATTAAATAATCTGTTCAGCCTTTTTGTCACCTGCAACAAATTAGGCTTTCAATATGCAAAACATCTTCCTTCCAGAAAAACAAATGATCATGATTTCATTTAATTGTAATTTAATGAGGCATAATGTATTTTTTAAAGTGATATACACCAGGTGTGTGGTGAGGAAACTGGCCCAGCCAGACAAACCCTACTGTTTCTATTTTTGAGAAAGCCCTAAAGCCAGCCAGAGACTGTTTTCATTTCTCCAAATTATGTTTCTACTGGAGGGGGTGAGGGAGGGAAACCCACAGCATTCATAGATTTCTTATAAAATTCCATTGGCTAAATTAGCTCATTCCAACTTACTTCCATCTCACATATTAAAAAATAAAAATGAAAAAAATGGCAGTTTGCAGAGTAACCAATTCTGCAAACCTAAAAGATCATCTTCAGGGACTGGAAAGTCTCAGTATAACTTTAAATAGCTAAACAGATCTTCTACATAGAACACAGCTCCCAGGATACATTTTAGGACATGTAGCTTGATAATATCTTTGCTTTTCCACTCCTCTGCATCATTTTTAAACCGGCTGCTGAAGAGGCAACTGATGAAGTATAACGTTCACACAGGCTGTGCTTGCAAACAAGGGGTGTGATCACCCTAAGACAAGGGCTCTGCAGAGCCTGGTTTACCCTTGGAACTTGCACTATTTTTAAAATTACACACTGGATCCATAATTGGCTTTAAGAAAATAATACCTGTGGTGGAGAAAAAAGCACATGTCCAATCAAAACAAAAAAGTCACTGAATCTATTTAAGGCAGGAGTAATTTTGACCGTGTTTTTTCAAACTAGCTGAAATGCAGTCCCCTCAGGCCAGCAAAGTCACTGTCACAGGAGTTTGCTTTGCATTTTTCTATGAAACCCCATTTGTGAACTTCTTTTATTTTTATTAACTACAGCATTTCCAGGACAAACAACCCAAACCTTACTGGCACCTAATCTTTTTTTAAGCAGCTTCTGAGAGATGATGCAGTTCAATGTAGAGCGGATGTTATTCCATGTGGCTCCAACACCCAGTGGACCAACCTGACCAGCCTCTGAGGCAAACACAGGCTTGAGCAAAGCAAAGAGAAGGTGAGCAAAGCCTCTGTGCCCTCTTCCCACAGGGCTGCTGCCCAGGCCTGGAGAGGGTGTCAGTGAGATCTCAGTGGGACAGCAGACTGCACTACCAGTGACCA